TATCATTAAAAACTTTATTTTCATTCATGACTTACTTTCAACTAGCTGTGATGCCATGTTTGATCATCGCTATCCTTGGAGCCAAATACTTAATTGTAAATTAATATTGGAAACCTACCTAACCTACAAAAGGAACCACTGAGGAATGTTTAAAAAGCAAAGAATTATTTCTTATAAGAGGAAATCCTGAAAACGAGCTTCTATTAAATCCCAGGCCAACAGAATTTTTAAGACACAAAAACAGCTCTTACACAAAATTTCCTATTCAGAGTGAATTTCCAATGCAGCTATAACAGTGTTTATTCAATAAACACCAAAGGACTGGTATTACATGTCCCTTTAATGAGATTCGATCTTTTCAATCCTTAGATTTTCTTAAATGACATGTCTACAAGTTACACAGTGATCTTTAAGAAAAACCATCTCTTTAGAGATGATCCACTTGGCCCTGGGCTATTTCTAACCAAAGACATCTAAACTGAATCAGTCCATTCCAGAATTCAGTGACTGAGAATATCAATCTGTTCCAAGTTTTGTCAGCCTTGGCTGGCAAAGACTCAGTCATGCTAGGTAGGCCCCAAAGGTCAAAAACAATTTTTTAGATTACCTCTGCAATCAGCCATGTGGCCTTGGGGTCACAGTGCCTGTGGCGGATGTACTTACCTATTCACCATTCTTCCTTCCCTCCCTACCCTTGCCAGGTCTCCCTTCCTGGGTTCTTCCATGGGACCTTGCTTTCACCGATGGAGTGGGCAGAAGAGTGGAAGCTCTGAACTGAGGCTTTCACGAGGTCCTGAGTGCTTCCACTCACCCTCTTGTCTCCTGCTGTCACTCATGAGAAGAGCAGCCCCAGGCAGCAAAGGGTCCTTCAGTCTAGGCCCCAATGATACCTGAAGCAGACTGAACCAAAGCTACAGTCAACCCCCAGACTCAGGAGTAAGAAACAAAGATCTGCATGTAAGCCACCGGAATCTTTGGGCTGTTTGCTGTCATAGTAAAAATTAACCCAGTGGCCAGCAATGAAAGGGCTGGAGGTCTTATTCTCTGGTACTGCTCTGTTCCAAATTAAAAGTTCCAGGTCCAGTCTCCAAAACCATATGTGGAACCAAATAAGCTTAATTTCAGGAACTACCAGGCACTGGCCAAACATCGACCTAACCGTCTGATATCTTCTATATTAATCTCATCTGAAGACGCAGCCATCATCTCTGATTAGTAATTCTTGAACCTCCTCCTCAAGGAAGTACCTTGAAGACAGCGCCTGTATCTGACGCCCCACTGGACTACAGCACCTGAAACAGTGTTCTGCACGTATGAGCCATATGATAACTCTTACTCCATTTCACCGTTCCCAGTGCTTTTCACTGTCGCCCATGGCCCAACATGACCTCCCGAGTTGCAGACTTATTCGTATATTTGAAATGACAAAAATGACTAGATATGATCTTTCCACCTGAATACACAGGTGAACTGACAAACTTTGCAACAAATGATGCTCAAGACAGATACCTACACCAATATGAATTCCTTCAAAATGGCACACAGGTTCCTTCAATGAGTACTGAGGTGCCAAATGGATGGCTGGGTGGCATATCTCATGGTGCCACACATGCACATGCAGCAGACATGTGCCAGCAGTCAAGGGTACAACCCCTACGGAGGCCGGTAAGGGGCCGGCCTGTCACCCCTTCCCCAGGGCACTTTTCTGTCTTGAGTTTTCATCACTGATCCTGTGTCACCACGTCCTGCTCACTGCCCCAGCTGCCTAGTTTTCACCACCATCCTCTATCACTCAACTGGCCTATGTTAGTTTCTTTCCTCTTCTTCTGCATGCTTTTTTCCTTCGTTCCTACCTCTTGCTTTGCTCTGCCTCTCTTTCACGCTTTCAAGCCTGGGTACCAGAAGACACACCACACATCCAGAAAACTCCCTTCCTTCACAATAAATCAACTCGCTGCCATCCACCAGATATAAATTCCAGGCCTCGGAGTCAGTAAAAGCAGGTGTGTTCCCTGCAGGGCACTCAGGGACTCCAAGGGATCGCCACACACCCTGCAGCTATTCTAGTACTTGCATCATTAGATAAATTTGAAGATAGGAATACTTTCCAATTTTTTTTTGTCCAAAAGTCTGCTGAACCCCATAGTCTAAACATGTTCTGTTCATCAAGGCTGTGTAATAGCTAAGATGTCTTCAAATACGCTGAGTTAATGAATCCCCGTAGCTCCTTCTTGCGATTTCTGCTCCTAAGGAATTTTAAGGATGATTTAGTGATATCTAATGAAATTGTCAATAAATTATCTATTATACTTAGAAATAGTCTAGAAGTCCTGAAAATGAATACAACTGTAATCAACACACATCCTTCCTTTCTTCCCAAAATATCCTTCCCCTTTTTATTCTGAAAATAACACACACACCTCTTCTTCTGAGACATGTCACCCCTGTGTCTCCGTGGACGCCCATGGAACAGTGTGAGTCAAAGACTCAAACATATGCTGTCATTTTCGTACTCAGACCAGCCACAGGCTAGGAGGGTGCCCCTGTCCAAAGCTGGGCCAACCCTGGCACCCTAACCAGCTGCCCAAAGTGGGTCTCTATTTGTGTAGATAAGGGCATGTGACCCCAGCTAAATCAACCGCAGACCTTCTCCAAGATTTTTCAAAGTGAAATGTAGGCAAGAGGAGAGCTCTCTTCTCAGGCGGTGATGAAACTGGGCATCTGAAGGCACGAGAGCTGCCAGCAGCCATGTGCCCTGCATTGTGAAGAAAGATGGTTTGCGAGAATGAAGCCAAGATGCCGACAGAAGCAGACGTTACAAGCAGGGAGGCTGAGCTTCCTGGCAGCACCCTGGCAGCACTTACGTCCCTCGTTCCAGTCGTCCGTCCCTGACAATTGCCACCCTCCTGCCTCCTCCTGGGTACACAATACGCCTTCCAATAAACTCCCCTGTAACAGCTAAGTCAACCCAAGCTGTGTTTCTGTAACCAGTAGCCAAGGAAATTCTGCGTAATAGACCAAGCAAACTGCAAGGTAACAAATTTGACTTCCTGGGGGTAAGGTCGAGGAGTACTGTAAGAAATTCTAAGGTATCTGCAGCTAACGTAGTGTTAGTGGACAGACTGGCATTTCCGAGTGACACTATGTGACACTTTCTTCACTGAGGCTAAGCCCCGTCTACTCATAACAGTCAATTTCTTGTATTTTAGTGAAGTTAGTAAATTTCCTCTTAGTGCAAGCCATGAACATAGATGATCAGTGGGTAAATGCTGGGCTTAAAACGTGAATATTGGAATACTAAGATTTCCATATGATCCTCTGGCATATCATCAGATCCAAGGTCTGGAGGTTTTGTGTTCTGGAAAAAAAATCCATCTCAGGATAGTAATAGCTATGTAACAAGATGGCAGTAATGAAACTGCAAAAATAATTATTAATGTGATTATTTGTCATCAAAAGATACATACCTGCTCGTTGATGGATTCAGTGGGATCCAAGGGACGAAAAAGGGATTTGGGGGAGGGCTGTAGGGAGGGCAGTTTTAATCTCATATGATGGTTCTGACTCAAAAGCTCAGCCAGCAAAGCCTAGCTTTCCCGAAGGACTGGATCTAAGATGAGGCTGCCAGGAATTCAAAATTAAAGACGCAGGAAATATAAAACCCAATCTGTGTTAAATGTATTAAACTGCATTTAGAAGTAAAGGAAAATACCTGTATTTCCCTCTGCTTATGTTTACCCTACCTCTGCAATAAAACTTTTTACTTTCAAAGTAAGTGACCGGTTGCTTGGGGTGGTGACCCACTATGGAGCGAATCTGAGATGCGACAGTTGGGTTCAGAATCCCCTGCCCAAGAGGAGGCCACGCTCAAATGGTGGAAGAAGTCAATATTGACAGCCCTGCTTTAGATCTCCAACTTCACCCAAAGAACGCACACTCAAAGGACCTTACTGACTGCCAAAACTCAAGGAGAAGAAATCTGGTTTTCAGTACAATAATTACAATGAAAAAAAGCAAATTCATTCTAACTGCTCAAAGCTGTGTCTGTACCATTAACTAATTCTAACTAAAATGGAAAGAAAAAATGAAATAAGCTTGTTATTCTCTGTATAATTTTAAGCTCTTAGAAGCTTATATGTTCATTGTACTTATTTGTTTTACACAGTTATTTAGCACGAAGCATGAGCTTAATACATGCCAATAACGAAAGAAAACAAACCATATTACAATATGCAAATTCTTCTTAATTGCATAAACTTACTGAAAAAGCTAAGCTCTAGACATCAACTTTAGAACAACAATGTTTTCTCTAAGTTATCCCAGAAGACCATTTGCATATAACTTCTGGAAATCTCCATTCCAAAGTTCTTCCAATGTAAACTGCATTTAATCTTTTCAGTCAGAATCATGCTTATAGAACACACTAGAATATTCACCTGGGACCAGCGCTCTAGACTTTTCTACCTACCAGAAGTGTGTGTGTGTGTGTGTGTGTGTATTATAGTTGCCATACTGACTATATATATATATATATATATATATATATATATATATATATATATATATACCAATAGAGTAAGTGAATTTGACCCAAACCCATCCTGCAACCATACTAATGATTTGGTCTCAAAAGGATATTTAAGTGTGGATTCAAATATGGATAGTTAAAATATCTTAATATCCCAGCTCATATCCACAGAAAATGATGTCATCTAGCAAAGTTTGTTTAGCATCCCTACTTATAATTCCTTAAAAAAATAAACTATAGACACAAGGAGCAATCTGATACTTATGTTTCTTTACCTCTCCTCTGATTGTGCCTGCGTTAGAAGATCTGATAAAGAAGGTGAGTAAAGTTAAATTTCAGTTCAAGGTCTTTTTAAAACCTGCCCATTCCCAGCACAGTTAAGATGGAGAAATCTCATTTCTATGCTTGAGAAACAAGGAAACATATGCTTTAAGGAATGAAGGCACTCTTTAAATGCCTTGCATTTAAATACCTGCATCGATGCCCCTTCCACTCTTGCCACACAGGCGACCCGATCCAGGAAAGTCACCGCCACAGGCACTGCCACAAAAAAGCCTTTACAAAAGGCCCTGAAGTACCTTTTCACCCAGCCTTGGGACTGCGCCATACCTTAAAAAAAAACAAAGAAAACAAGTATGAAACTAAGTATAAAACAAATGTCCAAAAAGGTGAAAAAGAAAGAGACAAAAGCAGCTTAAGGAAAATAAGAGTTAAGGAAAAGCAACCTCATCTTAATATATTTCACACCCATCCCTGTAGCCACTGTAGTAAATTTGATTTAAAATCCCAAAAGCAAATATATTCACTCAGGCTAACTCTTTTCGGCAGCTCAAGTCCACTTAAAAACTTCCAGTGGAAAATTGCTCCTCACAAAGCAGTAAGTTAGAAAAAAAAAAAA